CTGCTATCGCTCTGCTTTCTCATTATCGCTGCTACTGCTTTGACTGGCAGAGACAGAACCAATAGAAAAGAGGCTCCTGGTCGCAATCCACGTTTCTCCCTCCCAAAAATATCAGTCTCACCAGCATTTCTTTATCTCATCAGCTTTATTGTTACGCATAAGTCTCCAAACATACCCTGAGTGGAGTGCTGAACCCCATCTACTGCTCATTCCCCAAAGCCCGCCTGTGCCTGCGCCTCCTTGGAAGAAGCGTGCTGCACTCCTCCTGCTGTGTCCCTAGCTGGGCTTCCCTCCAGTGCTGGTGACACGCCACCAGGTGCCCCTCCTCAGGGGATGGGGGTTCTCCACTGGAGGACCTTCCCATGTCAGTGCCCCCTTCCTCAGGCTGTGACTCCCCAGCATCCCAGGGTTGCACTGATCTGCCTCCCCACCTGCCCTGGGGCTCATCTCTCCCATGGCCGCATCCCGCTGGACGCCAGGAGCTTGAGCCACCGCTTGAGACTGCACCATTACAAAACCAGGCTCATCCTCGTGATCGGAAGGCGAATCAGCAGCACAACAAGCATAAGGAGCCTCCTGTGAACGTGCCTGAGGTCTGCCAGGACGCACACCTGTGCATAACACCTCTCCTCCTCTGTTGTGGCACTGTTGTGTGGGGCAACACAAGCAGCCGGGGACCAAGCAAGCTCAGTGGTGAGGAAGAGCAACTCTGGGGCTCTTGTCAGAGGGACCATGCTTGGTGTGTCCCCCAGGCCCCTGCTCAGCACTGCCTGCCCTTGGGGCCAGCCCTGCTCTTGCCCATGTGCTGGATGCATGAGAGTGGCTTAAGTTTCACCGGTCCTTTAGGGGTTTGGGGCTTGAGCGGAGCAGGGGGAACATCTGCAAATCTCCGTGCTCCTTAAGCACATCAGCAGTCCCATTTAGCTTCATAACTTATTTTATATACACTCAGATACACAACAAACCCCAGGTGGCTCAAACAATCCCCCTGCTCCTCTACATTTCATCCTCACAACAATCCTGTGAGGTAGGCCAGGCCGAGAGTCCATGCCTGGCCCACAGTCACCAAGTGAGTGTCATGGCCTAACGGAGATTAGAACCCGGATCTTCCCAATCGCAGTCCAACACTCTAACTGCCACGCCACACCGGCTCTATTGAATTTATTTCACGCGCCAGCAAGTTCACTACTACAAGTGATCCTGCTCTGTATGCTGGATGCCAAAGACAAAAAACAGCAAAAGGCCGTCCTCTTCCAAGCACAGGACAATGCTATACCTGGAGTTCTGGGAAGGGTTTCGTTATCAGATGGTACAAATGCTCATAGCCGCAGCTCCACTTCTAAGGTCAGGACACCCTACTAACTGCTGTGCTGAAAATGACATCTGAGTTCGGACACACAAAGCAGACTCATTATAGCAATTCCACACCTGGAACGGAGGGGTTTTCATGTGTACTTAAGTGAGCTTTACCTTATCCAGAGTCTTTTCTTGGCCATTTTACAGTTCCTCAGTGAAACCGACTGCAGCAGTGCACGAAGGCACAGCTGACAAGTGTCCTTCTCACATCAGGATAACGAACCAGCCTGCTTTCAAGCAGACACATCTCTTTTGTGATGGAAGGTAATACCTCGCACACAGCAAACTTTGGAGCTAAATGGCCGAGACACTTTTGAGTCATAAGGCAGTGGAAAAAATGTGGTTACTCTTATTTTGAGAAGAAAAAAATTACACTGTAATAATGGTCTTCTGGTCATAACTTCAAACCAATTTCCTGTAACAAAAATGTCAAGCTTCTACATTAATCCTCCATGAAAAGAGCTTTACAAAAATCAGACCAGAAATGAAATTTACACTGGACGATGCAAGGCCACATGCAATGTCTAATAATAAAGCTGAAAGACACGCAGCAACAGCTCCTCCGGGCTGGCGTTGGCATCTGGCATCTTCGGGCGGCTGCTGTCGCCTGCCCTGGGCCCTGGGGAAAAACTCTGGCCCTGCGCTCTGAGCACCACCAGGTCGCTGACCTTCTGGAACAGCAACACTCACAGGAAGACTGGAAATTATGCTGTAGGGCAGCTTTCCCCAAGTTCACACTTTCCAGATGTTCTGGACTTCAACTCCCATCGGCCCCAACCAGCATAGTCAATCAGCAGGCATGCAAGAGCTGTAGCCCAAAACATCTGGAGGGTACCTGTTTCAGGAAGGCTGTTGTAAAGAGGGTGCTGTATCCAGGCACGGGAAAACTTTTCCTGCTGCATCAAGCAAGGTGCTGCCACCGACCACAACAGACCAGCTGCTCTTCCCAGCCTGCTTTGTACTCCGTTCTAGCAGCAGGAATCCCATAAGCGGCCATCACAAGGCGCACATCAATGGGTCCCCACAGCCACTGCAACCCTGTGTATGCATGCCGTGACCTCCCTCATGCTCCCTTTAAGCACCACAGACTGGTCTCTCCTGTACACATTCGACGTCCTCTAACAGCGGTGACAAATATTGACATCTCTCAAAAATTCCAACTCTGCAACACTAAAAAAAAGCCATTTTTTTGCCATCCCCACCAAAGCCATTTTGTTCCACCGTTCCATCTATCCATACTCCACAAAGAAAGCTTTTTGCACATTAGTCTATCAGTCAATCTCATCATCAATAATTATCCTGAAAAAGCAAGGGATAAAGGTGGCATAAAATAAGGTTTTATTTTTACCTGTAAAATAAAAATTCTGTTCATTCACATTTGGATGTAATGCCCTGGACTGATGAGGGAGGTGGCAGAGAATTCCTATGACTAACCTTCCAGTTAACAACATCTCCACTAACCTAGGCCAAGTCAGTGTTTCTTCCAGGAAAAGAGACTGCCCAACCCTCAAGTACGTTTTTGGTACTTGTCCGCAAGGCAGCTCAAGACCCATCACTGCACCCTAAGTTAAGCAAACTCCCCATCGGTTACTCATGATGTAATACAAGCTGTCCTTGTGAAAGTACTTGAACGCTTAAGATTTTCTCATGTTGGCATTTTTAAGATAGTGCTAGACTGACTTCAAATCCCACGCAGTATTACGTGGCTTTATGTATGATACATCTTCTGTAATGACTCTGAAGAATCTCTTGGAGCTGAACAGTTACTCATTAAGGAAAACTGACAAGCATCTTCTGGCTGAAAAACAGCCACAGTATTTATACTAGCTGCAATAAAAGAAATCCTTCCAACGTACCCATTAGAATATCCACACAATACTTCTATATTAGGATGCAGGATAAAAACTACAGATGTTTATTAGAAAAGAAAACCAGTTTGGATGCTCTTCTGTGTGTGTAAGGTGTGCACCACTCACTGAAGGGCTGATTTTCAACTTCTGCCAGTGCCCTACAGGAAATTAAATCCAAAGCTGCTGCTCTGCTTGCACAAGCACAGGAATGATGATAAAACCTAGTACAGGGCCTAGAAGCCCTTTCAGGGAAATGAAAGCAGAGCATGGGGCTTGTCTGCTTGCTTGCCCTTGACACTGCCTGCCAACTTGACACTGAAGCAAAGCGGGGCTCCTTCCTGCCCGGGGAGGTTGTGAGGAGAGGCTGGTCAGCATGGGTAGACCAGCGGGGGACACAGCGGAGAAGCACACAGGGCGACAAGGAGAAATGACCAACATGGACTATGGGCATGAGTCTCCATTGCACATGCATGATCACAGCTCATCAGACTAGATCACAGACACTGGGAATGAATGCAGCACCTGTGCTTCAGTGCAGACCATATACGTGTTCTCACGTATCAGCCGACCCCAGTCTGATAGACTGCGGATGGTTTGGACTACAACCCCAGCGAGCACAAAGAATAGACAAGAATTAGGAGAATTGTGGTCCAAAATACTTGGGGCAGGACAGAAGGTTAGGAGCAGCTGCTTGCTAGGTGGCAGTAAGGCAAGAAAATGACATGGTCCACCAACAATGCAGACTAGCAGGCCTTGACAGAACAACGCTTCGTAGCATGCCACAGAAATATACATCTGACCCATGAATGACCTAAGTCAGTCTGCGAAGGCATATGACTAAATGCTTTGAAATTCCTTGCTCATGCAGACAGAGAAAGTTATGTAAGGACAATCAAACTAAGACAAGACCTTGATTCTGTAAAGAAGCACTCAGTGGACAACAGCAGCAGTTGCTTCTTAAATCTCACACCTGGCATCAGGTGGGCATCCCCATGCGCACGGGCGCGCACACAGAGCTCCTGAGTTAGGGATGAATAAAAAGTGCATTCTCCCATGGGTACTGGCCTATTTAAAAGGCAATGATGTATCCACCTTGCATCTGTTCTCTGAGATCTGCATAACAATGTATGCTGATTGCACAAGATAAAAAGATGCATAATTGTAATGCCAGTATGCCTGTGTAATAGTTTGATTAACTGTATTAGCCCTGGGCTGTTGTTCTCAGCAGTTTCTGTTTTAAGTAAGAAAAAGTATTTTTTCTCTGCAAAACATAATATACTATGTAAATAATATAATATAATATCCTAATTTGGGAAAATCAGGAGAGAAAACAATTCTATGAAAAATGCATCAATGTAATGACTTGCAAGTCAATTTAATTCAAATAATGAAATATTAGCTCATGTTGACTGTAATACACTAACAGCAGAAAAATCTTTAGTTAATCTGTTGTTTACAAACTTCTCCTCTACACAAGCAGGACCTGGTCTGCTATTATTTTCTAAAATCACAGCTATCACAAAACTCTCTCTTTTTAGTTTCGTGTACTCCAATATCACGGAAGAAAAACATCAAATTATTACACACATTCTGATTTGCTCAAGGTGTGTTTGTGTGTGTGTGGGAGAGAGAGAGAGAGAGAGAGAGAGAGAGAGAGAGAGAGAGAGAGAGAGAGTTAGTTAGTTAGTTCAGCACTTCTTTCTAAGCCCATCCCCACCCGACCTCTTCCTCAGTCGACAAAGCTGGATGGCAGTGCCATCGTGTGTTTAAGGCTCACTGTGTGAAGCGCCTTACCTCAGCAGCCTGGGTCTCCTGATGCAGCAGAGTGAGGCCTGTGAGATCTTCTAAGAAGGAATGGGAGGAATTAAAAACCTTTGCCAGGAATTTAAAGCCTTCTCTTTCATACTGCTCAAGGACCTGCAAAAAGCAAACACCAAGAAGAAACTGTATTATTTCTTTTTGGATATTCCAGAATAGACCCACCAAGTAGAACATTTGCACCACAGAACATACCATGCAGCTGTTAAAAGATTTACCAATCAACAAATTTCAGCCTCGTAACTTAAAGTTATGTGCGATACCAAAATATTTTGCTTACGCTAAAAGGGAACCATGAAAGCCCCTGTATGCTATCTCTCTGCGTGTTCCTATACTCAACTCTTCAGGGACAAACACTAAAGGAACTACTAATGTGAATTTAATCATATCCATTTGTGAAATCCAGCAGTATCCCCTGCACCAATGCAATTTCCCCAGACTAGCTGTATATAGCAAGCATTATCTCAGTTAATCTCTGAATGAAGCCATCCCAATCAGTGACTCATTACATTATGGCATACCTTACTTCAGTTTAAGCAAAACACATTCCTGCTTTTGGCTTCAATACAAGAAGCTTCAATAAGGTTTAATCCTCTTTCTTGTGGTTGTTCATTTAAATAGAACGAGTGACATGTACTACTCTTCAAAAACCCATGCCCTTTCCTTGCCCACCCCTTCAGGAATAACTAACAGCTCAGCAAGGCCTTGCACTGCTAAAGCCAGGAAACAATGTGGAATCACACTTAACTGCAACCATTCACTGGCAAACGTTCAGCATAACAGACATACACCCCTATGACATATTTCAGGCACACTACCATGAGGCATACGAATTGTTTTTAGCTAATGGTAATATATAGGAAATTATTCAAGGAGTCCAAAATCCTGAATCATCTAATACCAGAGATACATTGTGTAGAACAAGGAGCTAGCCCAAATTAAACTTCCAAGCAGCATGTGCAGTGTGGAGAAAAATGAAGAGACAGCTAAATACAGTAACTTTTGAGAACAAAAGCAGGTTTTAAGCTTCATATAAAAGTAGACACTTCCCTCAAAACTCTTTACTGGAAATCTTCTAAAGAAGGAAGTAGGGGAATCAATATTAACAGCAGCATTTCTTGCACACATCAGTTCTATTGATGAAGCAATGCAGATCTGGCTCTCTAAGTGGCCTGGATGGGTTCCTGTGGAGGAACCACATGTAACCTGCCCTCAGCATCTTAAAGGAAGGAGAGTAAAAATAGTAATGCCATTAGATATTGCTGCAGAGGCACCGAGATCTGCTGTTTCTCTGGACACTTGCATTGTGCGCTATTTCGTGGGCAATGCCCTGAAAACTTGGCTCAAGAATCCACTTCGGTTGCAGCTGCTACAAGGCTCTGGATGGCCACAGGGGACAAGAGCCGGTGTACAATGAACATCTACTACTTATTAGATTAGGTGCTCACTGGAACTACAGAAACGTGCAAACGCGTGTCCAATTGCCATTGCACCATCCAGCCAACAAACCCACAGGGAATCTAATCATAGTTTTGCTTTGAACACTGCATGCTGCCTATGGACTGACGAGCTGGATACAGGGGGTGGCCCGGAACCACATTTCATTCCAGTGCCCAGTGGGGTCCAAGGCAAATGGCGCAGAGTCAAACATACCGACCTATTGTAGCTTAATACTCTTACTAGGAATGTGCAAGGAATCCATTTGGGGTGGACAATCCATAGGGTTCCCTGGTTTTTGTTTCCCGGACTCTGAGCCAGAGAGTGGCAGCTCTGAGTTCCTGGTGAGAGTGTTGCAGTGTTTGCAGAGTGCTCTCCAGGAACTGAGCCCCACTGCATATAATGGTGTTCCATGCGCTCACTGTACAAACGGAGTCCTCCATTCACATGTGTGATTTCACCTATGTGCTGCACATGACACAAGAAGCTAGCTGGCTTTGCGCAGAATGCTCGTGCCTGCGCATGCTGCCCTTGCATGGACTGTGCTTGATCATCTCCGTGCAAAAAGTCTGGGGGCATCCGCAAATGCCCGCTGGCTTCCTCTGTGCTTGGCTCACCTCCTTCGCAAGGGAGGAGCACTAGAAGAAGTCCTATGGGGAGATGCTGCACAAATGGTAGGAAACCACAACATGAGCAGCGGCACAGGGAAAGGGGAAGGAGGTATGGCCTGTAGGAGAACTTAGAAGGCTGAACAGAATCCCCAGATGGGCCAGATGAGGCTCTAAACATGAGGGTCTGCACCCTCTACCACAGAGTCAAATTGTTCTCGTTGTTTCAACTCAACCTGCATCCTGCTTCTCAACTGTCAAGTCCTCGTACTCTTTGTCCTGAGCCCTATAATTGACCTCATGTTCATACACCAGTTGGGCTTTCTTTCTGACTGTCTTTCTCTCTTTCTTGGTGCTTTTGCATCCTCACGCTTGTGGGTCTTGGCTCTAAAAATAGCTAGGATTTGATTGTTTCTCCTGCTGTTCCTTGTGACTCTTTCCAATTCCATGCTCTACTCCCATGCAAGTCCACAGTTCCTCCATTTTCTGCTGAACCACTTCTCCCAAAGAGAAAAGGAAGTTTTTACTCCCTGATAACATCCTCACTGCTTCCAAAGCCAGGTTCCATGCATATTGCAGCATTACCTCTCAGCTCCCTAGATGCTGTTTTGGTGCCTTGCGGGGGAGCTATATGTGTGCTGTCAGTTTGTGGTCAAAGGTGGCCATAGTTCAGCAAAAAGACTAAAGATTTCAGTACACCAAAGATCAAGACAAAGGTAATCATCTAATTGGAAAGTCTAAGGAGAATTCCCATTTTTAAGGATCTCTCCATCTACAAACTGAGGTGACTCCAAGGTACTTTATAATGGATCAGTCTAATTGTGTCAGAAGTATCTTGGACTATATTTGTCTCTGGTTCTTTCTGCACAACACAATGCTTAATTGTGCCTAAGCAGCTGCCCCTTTTTTAATTTGGCACTGGGAAATCTGAGCACAGTCTGTACCCACAGCATTTTTCTAACTATGCACAGCCAAAGATGACGTTACATCCTTTAGGGTTTTTTTTATTCTGAAGTCAGTGTGGTGTTGTGATTAAGGATGTGGGTCTGGTACTCAGGTGATCTGGGTTCTAGTGCTCGCTCAGCCATGTGACCAGCTGGGTGGCTTTGGGTCAGTCACAGACTCTGAGCCCAACCTTCTTTACAGGGTTGTTGTTGTGGGGATAAGATTGAGAGGAGGAGGAGGAGACTGATGTAAGCCACTTTTAGTTCTTTAAAAAAGAAAAGGGTGGGATATAAATCTAACAATAAATAAATAATCACTTATGTTCTATTTCTCCATGGATGAGTACACTAGTTCTAAGAAGCCTAAAATAATGATCGGAAAGCATGATAATTGGAAAAATATAGATGGCACGATAGAAACAGCAAGGCAGGCAAATCAGATGCCATGTGAGCATAGGAAGCTTGGGTGCTGAATAACAACAGTAGGCTATGGAGATCAAATGGGAGAGCTCTCTGGTACACTGTGTGCTAATAAGAACTACACTTGGAACAATGATCCTGTGCTATACTGGCAAACTAGCTAGTGTTTGAGCTGGTCCTCAATATGGAAGTAACTATTCCTCATTCAGAACTGAATTTAATAGCATGGTCAATCTTCCTAGATCACAGAATCATAGAAGAGTTGCAAGGAGTCAAGAAGGCCATCGGGTCCAAACACCTGCTGTTGTAGGACACCAGTTTACACCATCCCACTCAGATGGCTGTCAAGTTCCTTCTTGAATATCTCCAGTGTGGGAGAGCCCACCACCTCTCTAGGCAGCTGGTTCCACTGTCATATTGCTCTGACAGTGAAGAAACTTTTCTTGATATCTAGTCTGAACCTGGGTTGTCACAGCTTGACTTGATTATTTCATGCCCTAAACTCTGGTAACAGACTTGATTATTCCGTTTCTTAAACTCTAGATGGCAGAGAGGAAGTCTTCATCACATGGCTTCAGTGCCTGGGGAAATCCTGTACCTTTTCCATCTCTGAATACTGCTGGATTAAAAATTAAAACAAAACCCAAGGGACCATGGATGAAATATCCAATTGAAAATTGCTACAGGACACCATTTAACTGAATTGTGTGAGGGTTCATTTGAGCCTTTTATATGGGCTATGACTAACAAATGTTCACATATTTAAAAAAGTCTGAGGCATACATTTCAAGCATGCTTTTCTTAATGCTATGTTGATATATACTGCAAAGCAAATTAATTTGACTCTTGGAGAGTTAGGTATTCCAAGAAACTGTTTAACAGCCTAACCAGATGTGCAATTTCTCACAGCTGTCTCTGTATAACATGATGCATACAGATGTTAACTTACAAACTTGGGACTGAAGCGCTCTTTCCCAGTTGCCATTGTCATCAGATACGTTGTTATAATGTTGTTGGAAGAACAGCACAGAATGCATAACAGTTTAGGCCAGATTTTGGTTACAAATATGCCAAATTCAAAGACAATGCTGCCTCCCAAACACCAGCAGTATTTTGAAAATCATTATTTGCAAATAAAGCAAGCATAAAACACATGGATACAAAATTTAGGGTTAGAGCCAAAGTCCTCCTCTGTGAATAGAAGAAATTTCCACTTGTCCATGGGGGTAGGGAGGAGAGGGGGGGGAAGCTGCTGATGGTCTCCTTCTCCACACTTCCTCTACACCCCCCTGAAAGCTGCCCCAGAGGGTGCAGGGCTGCCTGAAACCATATAAAGAACAAAAGAGTCAGCTACAGCATGTGTGTATAAAATTACACATTGCCTTCTTGCACAGAGCATCTTTAGCATATTAATCAAGGACTTGGGAGTCTAAAATATGTTTCGGTTACTCAAACACAATGAGAAAAAAGGGGAATATGGAATAATGTCAAACTCGGGGGTAGTCATTTTTCCCTTACGTTGAAGCAGTAATCCCTTAAAAGCTTAAATGGTTATGCTTAGGAGTCTCTGGTATTACTGCTGCCCCATTATGCTTCCGGGTTTACCCCCAGAGAAATGAACTTTCATTCCTTGAGTTATGTTACTTCTCAGAGCTAGAGAATATTGGCACCGGGCCATACCTAAATTCCC